GGGTTCCCGGAGCGTCCCCTTTGTGTTACCGTCGGCTCAGTTCATTTCCTCTCACCTTTATCTCCTTTACTCATCTCCATCTCTTCTGTTCTCACTTTCACTCAGACGTCTATCACGTTTTCCCAATCTCCCCCCGCCAGCATGTCCGTGCTTTAGTCTATTCTTAGAACCGTTCAACTGTTGCTTGCTGCTTTTGTGGTTGTGTGTGTGTGTGTGTGTGTGAGAGAGAGAGGTAAATGGTAGCATCCAAATCTTAAATCATTGAACTGAGACATTAAAAAGTATATTCTTTGTAGTTTTTGAGAAAAAAAACAACTCTTTTGATCAGAAGATGATGTCGGTTGTAGAGTTTCTTGATTAAGGAACATAGCACCAGTCAAACAGCAGTCCTTGTGCATGTTCACATGCCTTAGGAAGGCAAAGAATATCCAACTCAAACTAAAATAAAGATTAAAGTGGAGGTGGAGGTTAGAACGCGCTGCCATTGAACAGCCTGTTGTTATGCCTTGCCGTTTTAATTTAAAAAGAAAAAGAAAGGGAAAAAGCTATTTTTCTCTTTTCTTTCTGCATTTGGACTTACCGGATGGAACAAATAAGCACACCCACAAAGAGCTCTTAGCTCTTGCTAAAAGAAAGGCCTTGATTTTTTTTTTTTGTGAGTACTTGTAGAGGTACTCCACGCCTGTTTGTAAAAGATGTAAAAGTGGGACGTTGTTATACCCTGACATGCAGTAAACACAATCTTTACGGCTGGTATATCGGCAGTTAAGTTGAATTCTTGCCCGGTTGAAAGGTTCCTCCTCTGGGTGCGCCTTGAGAGTCCAGCGTTCTTAAAAGTAGAACGATTTCAGCATCATCCCTCAGAATGACAGCTCCGCAGATCCACTCGTTTTTTTTTTTTGACTGGGCTCCAGTATTTGTGTAAAAAATCTACACTGCGGCAATTTTATTTATGTCGGCAATATTAACTCGCTCCGTGCTGACTTTTCAGATTTTGTTGATGGTGCTATAGAGATGGAAGTTTTGACTCATGCTGCCTTTGGGCGGGTGAAATGACTGGCCACGATCTACGGGACTTTTTTTAATTGGAGCAACATAAAAGTCGCCCCCACTGGTAGTTGAAGAGTTATAAAAGAAAGAAAGAACCTGATAATTAAATTTGATTAAACAAATGCTACATCTGCCTTTTGGTGCATAGACAGGAAGGCTGAATTACAGCTCGTTTTAGGCTCATCAACACTCACTCGGCAGTTGATTTCTGAATCTGTTTCATGTGTTTCACTGCTGCCGTACTGCAGAAATACTGAATAAGAGATGCTGCTTTTCGAAATAACAATGTTGGCTTTTCTTAGGCCTAAATGAAAAATACCTGTGAGATGGAAATAATCCCCTCAGTTTTCGGTTGGGGAATTGTGACCTAAATACGGTTATTCAAACAAAGTTATCGTTGCATCTTTCTATGTTTTTGAAGAAGAACTGTAGCCTCGGGATAGATTAGATCAGAGGGAAATGTTAATATCGCATCCCAAATGCGGAATTTTAGATGGAATTTATGTAATGAAAATAGAACAGTGTTTTTTTTTTTTTCAGATGCAAAAAGTGATCTCTTGTCATGCCTCTATCCATTCATCTTTTTTCGACACCCGCCCAATTCAGTCCAGACAGAGTGCACTCTGAACTGTCTTTTATTGTTAGCGGTATTTTAGTTTAGTATTGTAAAATCTGCACAGTGTCCAATGACTCAATGCTTCCATTTCCAGCCATATTTGTATCTTCTGATTTCAATTGTCTTTTCTACTTTCATCTTGCATCTGTTTGCAATTAGCTACATAGAAGAGTCATCCAGAGGAAATTACATCTGAATTTGATTACTCTTTCCTTCGTGGCAATTAATTGCCATTATATGAAACTAAGTGTTGCACATTACCTCACTGAAAGACATCCTGTACATACATAAAGAGTTTAGGTTTTAATAAATCATTTCCTAAGCAGTGTGGTGTTGAGAAGTTAATCTCCTCTCACTGACCACTCCCTGATTTACTGGATGTCCTTGTATGAGCAGCTAATGCAATTCCCACTCATTGTCTCTCACCCAGCGGAACAACCCAGGGGATTAGACGAGTTTAATTCCTCTGCATGTTCATTTCAGACAAAGTGACACTTGGAATATCGGGGTACACATTCTGTCGCAGAGTTTGATAAACATCGTAGAAAGTAGAACATAAGCAGGCAATGGATGAATTCAAGTGAATTTTATCTTAACATAACTTTTTTGTCATTTGTAAGCTATTAACTAGGCTCTTTTTGAATGTAATCTGCCTAAAAGTTGCAGAATCCCACCAGTCTAAAGTATTATGTGGCTGTTTAGTCTCACCAGAAAATATGGAATAGGATTTTTTTTTGTAGGTTTTCAACTTAAAATAATTCTGAAGCCTCTGGAAACAATGATGAGTGAAGTGAATGATCTTGGAACAAGGTATGGGGTTCTCGACCGCTTGTTCCGTAAATGGGAATCTGTTTGGCTACGTCTGCGTGCATCTTCCTCCTACATTTTGTCTGTGTCTGTTGCTAATTAAACATTGTTAAGCTTCCAAGGTATCACACAGCAAATCCCTGAATTTACCGACATGAGAGGTGTAAATGGCAGTGCCTGTTTTTATGTTTTGCATGCTTGGCAAAGTAGGTTCAGTGTATGACATATGATTAAAACTTTTTTTTTAGTTCAGTCGTGTAGAGTACAGTACGAATACAAACATATTTGAAATGTTATGATATTTTCAATAATAATTCTAATAGTTTATTTTCCTCGGTGAGTAGCTGTTTTGTTGGTTTCGGCTTCCTGCCTACTGCTTCCAGACAAATGTCTGCTACTTTGCACTAATTCAATTTGTTGTATAACTCTATTAAAAAAAAATATTTTCCAAACTTCTCCATTTTTAAACTGTTCCTTCAAATTAACTCACCAGCTTTTATTAGGCTGTGTCTGTGTCAATGTTTAAAGACAAGAGCATTACTTTTCCCAGTTTATGTTCCCTCGATAAAAGAATGCTGTGTATATTTCAAATCTGAATGTTAAACATAGGTTTCCTGTACAGTGCGGAAAACCATGAAAGCAATCCATGCTTATTTTTACTCTGTAAACTACGTCAGTCATATTTATACTGATTTATATAATGTGCATGTCTTATTTAAGATTCTATCTTGAATCTCTCCGTGGCCCAAATTTAGAAGAGGGTCCTGTGGTAAAGATAACACAGCAAGATCTTTCATCTCCAACACCCGTCCCTGGTTACTGTTGCTATGCATGGCGGATCGTTGCCGTCACCGGTGCATCCAGTAGGCATGTCGGCGCAGCCGGGGAGTCTAAAAACAGCATTCTATATTACAGCATATAATGAGAGAGGCTTCATCAGTGTTCTCTCCAAATGTCAGAGCAGCTTTAATGATCTTCTGAGCACACGAAGCCGAGAGAGCGTGTGTGTGCGTGTGTGTGTGTGTGTGCGTGTGCTGTCGCAGTGTGTGGCTCCTTTCTGCATTGTTGCCGTTTTCAGTAATCCCACCTATCTTCATTCCGTCCCTGCTATTAATTCCAGCCACTGAGGCTATTAACCTTGTCCATCTCCGCCTCTTGGCGTCCCATCTGTCTGTTTCTCTCTCTCTCCCGGGCCTGCTATTGCCTTGTCATGATTCTAAAACATGTGACTTGCATGAGCACCCGGGGAATTTGTTCTTTTCTCGCACGCAGAAATAAAGTTTTGAGCGTGCGGCCACAGCCCGGGGTGCACGTTTAAACTCTCCGACACAAGACGCATTAACAGGTCTGTAAAACAGAGCCAGAACACCCCCTCCTCGAGCACAATGTGTAATGTAATTTCAGCCTCTTGAATATCATCAACCTCTAATTACTCCTCCCAAGTTCTTCGGTGTGTGCGTTTGATGTCGAGGCTGAAAAAGTTCACCGGCAGGACGGGAGAAAATGCCCTCAATAATTTAGAGACTGGTGAGTGCGAGGTAAGAAAAAAAAAAGGGTGTTGTGTTGATAATGGCACACGGAAACCGAAAAACTAAAACAAGGGGAACGCTCTACACACGAGGGTAGAAAACGGGGACGCGCACAGAAGGCAAAGCTGCCAGATGACACAAAGAAAGAAGAAAAGAGGGAAAGAAAAGAGGAGTCGGAGGCAGAGATGGGTAAAGAGGTGGTGGCGGAGAGAAAACGAGGGCTTGCGAAGAGGACAATATGAGGAAAGAAAGACATGGAGCGAGGGGAAAGGCTTATGAGCGAACATGCTGGGGCTCTTGGTGCAATGCAGAAGGCATTGCCATGGAAACGGATGGAGGGAAAACACAGACGAGGAGGAGGGGATTAGGAAGGAAGAGATCACTGCTTCGCACCATGGGAGTGGTGGTGGTGGTGGTGATGGGAGGGTTGTTTTTTTATTATTATTTTTTTATTTTAGGAGGGATGTCAAACACAAACAAGTGAAGTGTGAATATAAAGTTGAATTAAGAGCTCCTTGATAGTTTTGTTCATAATATTTTTTACCATGCGGGGTGATAAATGAAAGCGGACAACAGTTTGAAATTCCTCAGCGATGCTCTGTGTGTGCGTATCTGTGTGAGTGTGTGTTTGTGTGTGTGGGGTATCCAGGAAAGTGTCGCCACTGTAAATTAAATTTTCAAAAACCCAAAACTGAAAGGGGATGAGCGTGTCGTCATGGCGCCAGCTGTCTCAGGTGGCATTGTCTGGGTCCAGATCCGAGGGCGGGGGGTTGTCATGGCAGCAGCAGCAGCAGCAGCAACAGCAGCGCATGGAGTTTGTCTTAGGGTGTCATGCTACAGACACACACTCGCACACTCACCGTGCATGTCTGTTGGAAATATTCTCGACTGCAGGATTATAAATAGAACGCGTCAGAAGGCAGCGCCCCTCTCCTCGTCCCGAACACTCGTGGGACCCCGATCCCTCTCATCTTTCTTTCCTCCCGTCCCTCTTCAAGGCTCACTCTCCCTCCTCGGTGGCGGCACTCATGCTTTATTCAAAATCGTCTATCATCATCATCATCTCAACTCCCCGAAGTCTCATCGGGTGGCTCTGTTTGCCTTCGTTTGGCTCCATAGCGATGGAGGCGAGGCAGAATTGTCTGTCACCGTCATGGCGATGAGACGGGCGCGGTGAGGACGCCTAATGAGAGCCGGGCTGCTCGGGCTAATGAGGTGGGGAGGCTGCACCTGGCTGGAGTGAGTTACTGTGGCCTCTGAACTCTCCAGGCCCCAAAAGAGAAAGCCCAGAGGCAGCTTAACCTTGTTGATGACCAGTGGATAATCCCACCGGTGGCACGTTCAGTGGAGAAGGAAACTTTTGTTTTTTTCTCTCTGAGTTTAAACACAAAAACACCCAGAAACCATATGCAAAGGCTCACACTGAAACAGACTCATTAAGACTTATTGTAAATCCAGTTAATAGCTGAAACATCATCAGCTCAGATTTCAGATTGAGGTTCTAACCATGAGTGGTTGATCTGGTTTTTCACTAAATGTAGAAAGAAATAGTCTATATATATATATATTTGTTTTATTTGTGACTATATTTATTTGTGACTTCTGCATAGATATAGTGTTTTTATTATGCTTGCCTTGAAAAGAACTAAACTGGTGAAACACTAGCTGTGGAGCATCCTTTAGTGCTTTTACAAATGTCCAAACCCTGTGTGTGTGTTTTTTCATTTTTCATTTTTAACTGCAACGCGTTTGTAGCCATAAAGATTGTTTACGATATCTATAATCTTCATGCAGTTCAAATGGAGACTTCCTGGACACATTTACTGGGCATATTAAAACATCTAATTGTTGTTAGAGCTGCCTGATACACTCTCTTGTAAGTAAGTGAACCTGTTGGACCAGAATCAAACCAAACCTACTTGCACACCCAGACAATGTGTTTTGGGTTTGAATCATTCACTGAAACGCTCAGCTCCACAAAAAGTGACACCTTTCTGTATAATCAGTGAATCGTCAAGTCTGATGTCGCTGAAATGATGAAATTCTGCTATTTTTTTTGTCAGACAGCTAAACGTGTAATAGATTTCGTTTGGAAAATCAGCTCTTCGGGACTGTCGGCCAACTTCTAATCACATAACTCATTTTCAGGCGGAGGTTCTTCTCACATAAAAACCTGATTTCCAGCACTGCAGCTTCACCATTTAAAGAAACTGACCGGTGTTAAGCTGGGCTGTACTAAATACGTACGATTGCATCCACCAGAAGCAACTCCCAAAGGAAAAATCTGATCTCCTCGGCCTACCGGCTCCACATGTACAGCAATAAATGCGAACTAGGACAAAATGTTTCTTCCTCGTTGTGGAAACTCTGAAACTTGTATCAAATATTCATTATTCCAGCGCTGAGTTCCTTTTTTTTTGAGCCCCTGACATAAAAAATGTTGAATCTGTTTTCATTCATTTACTCTCTAAAGGATTTCATTCAAATTTTCTTTAATAAAGAATCAATGCTAGTCTATTTATCCCAGTCAAAGAGAGGTTTTTCTCATTTCTATGTGGATGTCACTTACCCTGACATCCTCCGAGTAGATCCTGTGCTACTGTAATCTAATTTTTAACCCTGAGAAACTCTTTATAAAGCTGTGTGAAGGATCAGGAAATAACTGCTGGGGGGGTTACACAGTTCATTTAGCGGGTGCGCGGCCTTGCGTGTCAGATCCTTGATACCTGAATCACTTGGACCGTGCCCCAGCGCTTTTCCAGCGTGTAAAGTCACTTTCAGACACGAGCGTGTGTCATCAGAGAGGATGATGTCCTGAAAGCTCCTTCCGGGGCCAGCTGCTCTACAGCTCCCTCTTGTTCTCCTGCCGTCAGCAGGGATGTAAAGCTTAGACACCCCCCCCCCACTCCTCTCTATCTCCCCTTTGTCCTCCGACCTTGTCTCCTGTACTCAGCATGTTGTGCTTTTTTTCTTTTCTTGTACTCTGCCACCTACTCTCCCACTTCTCATATCCAGTTCTTTGTGTTGGTTATTTAACCTGTTTTCCCTCCAACAAAAGCAGCTCCCGAAAAGCCTCTTTGGGCCTTTAAAAACGGGGGTTTAGCAATAACAGGAACTCAAATCTCTGCGCTCTGTTCTGCTTCCTTGTATATTTGTTTGTTTTTGCTGTTTGTACTTTATGCACCATTATGCACTACTTTTGAACCCTCTTCAGTCACTAAACCGATGTGTGACCAGTCAATTTCTCCACTGTGAGATCAATAAAGCTCTTATCTTATCTTATCTTATCTTATCTTAAAGTGTAAAGATTAGGTCTCGTCAGGGCCGTGAACATCAGGGGAGACCGCCTTGTTGCTTTGTGTATCTACTTGGAATGAGTTATGCGTAATACCTGGCTTCCTTATCAGGGGTAATAATAATTTGTGATTGGTGGGCTATACCACTGCGGTGAGGCGGTTCACAGGAGCCCCCTATGTGTGTGTTTTTTATTAGACGGCGGGACAAAGAAGCTCCGCAGCACCATCCGAAGGAGCACGGAGACCGGCATCGCCGTGGAGATGAGGAACCGGGTGACGCGGCAGGGCAGCAAGGACTCCACCGACGGCAGCACCAACTCCAACAGCTCCGACGGAACGTGAGTGACCGGCCGGTCGCCCCCTCCGTCCGCCTGTGCTCCACTTTTTACCCCCGATTTACTCACCGCCCGATCGGGGTTCCGTCTCTTTTCCAGGTTCGTCTTCCCAACCACGCGCCTGGGGCCCGAGAGCCAGTTCAGCGACTTCCTGGATGGACTGGGCCCCGCTCAAATCGTGGGCCGGCAAACACTAGCAACGCCCTCTATGGGTAAGACTTAAGACGAACAGCATCACTGTGGTTTATCCTCTCAACTTTGCTGGAGGTTGATGAATAGAAGAGTGAGCAAACACTAAAAAAACACCACAAAAGTCTTATTATTCATTAGCAACCACAAATTTGCATGTATTGTTGATGATTTTCTCAAAAAGATATCAGTTATTTTTAAAAAGGCATATTTTTCTCGCATGTGAACTCTCAGGTGCACCGTTACATTTAAAAGCTCCTCTCAGAGCTTGTTTATTTAGCCGGAATGAGCGGAGTTATTGTTGCGGGAGGTGTAAATCTTCCATGCAAAGGTCAGCGTGGCGCTGTGTGCTGCTCCCCTGCTGGTCCAGACGTCCCCCCGCGGCTCTGGGACGCCCTCTGCTGTCAGACAACCGCCGCTGCGCCACTCTGACCAACGTCCAGCTGCCAACCGGTTGTTTTTCCTGCTCTTTAGGGGACGTCCACGTCGGTATGGTGGACAGAGGTGGACAGCTGGAGGTGGAAGTCAACCAGGCCAGAGGCTTAACTCCAAAACCCGGATCCAAGAACATACCAGGTATCAACCAGTCGGGAGTCACAGCAGCGTTTGCTCACCTAAAAACGGGGTTTGCTTACCTGCTTACTGGTTTATTCTTTCAGCGACCTACGTGAAGGTGTATGTGTTGGAGAACGGAATGTGCTTGGCCAAGAAGAAAACCAAAGTAGTGAAGAAGACTCTGGATCCCACATACCAGCAGGCTCTGTTGTTTGATGAGAGTCCTCAGGGCAAAGTCTTACAGGTGAGTGGTGTGCGTTCGGTGTCCTCTGGGATTTTGTTAAATCTTTATTTTTAGGGAGATTCTTCTCTTTTTCACTTTTCCATTCATTTGATTCAAAAGTGCGGCACATTTATATAAATTTCGACATTATAAGATCGATATACTGCCGTCAGGACCTTTTACTGACTTTATTCTGCATTAACACGTTATGTTTTCCACCTGAGACACCTTAGGCATCGAGCAAAAAGCTGTAATCAAACAGAAACAGAACAACAGCCAAACCGGTCCACAAAAAGTATCTAAGAAAGTCTTTTTGGAATAAGAGCCCAGTGGACTTTTAACTAGTAACAGCTTAAAGATTAAAAGACGGCAACTACATCCATAACTAAACACTGGCTGAGAATATGGACAGAGAAACTTGAACATTTCCTCTGTGGATAAATGTTGATTCAGACTAAACCGGTAAAGCCTGCAGAGTGATGGCTAAATATATACACACACACACCCCCAAGCTCATTTATAGGCCAATTGTCAATTTTTCGACTAGTGTAAAAAAGCTTTTTTGCACTAACTCTCCTGATCTGTCCTTTAGGTAATCGTATGGGGGGATTACGGACGTATGGACCACAAGTGCTTCATGGGAATGGCCCAGATCCTCCTGGAGGACCTGGACCTGTCTGCCACAGTCAGCGGCTGGTACAAGCTGTTCCCTACCTCCTCCCTGGCAGATCCCAGCATCGGACCCCTCACCAGACGCCTCTCCCAGTCCTCCCTGGAGAGCGCCACCAGCCCCTCATGCACCTAGACATCCAGGAGACGCCCACACGCACAAGCGTAGGCACACGGGCACGCAACACCCAACCGGATCTGCGCGCCATCACACAAAAGGCAAATGCCAGATCCTGTCAAAATTACCGACATAACACACACACATACGCACGTACACGCTGCCATAACATTCACACGCCAGTATGCTTTCCCGTCTGCTCCCATTCCCATCCCAAACCAGTGTTGGCTGACGAATACGAGCAGCGTTCCCAACTCAAAGAAGGCAAAACCTCACATGTAGCATTTCCCACCCGCGCGTTTTCAACGGCGGCAACTCTCTCACCAGGACTCAGTCGATGCCACGTCCTGCATTCCAAGTCACCAGATCTCCGTGGCACGCGTCATCCCCGGGGGGGGGGGGGGCATCCCGACGCCGGTTTCTAAACTCTCTCTCTCTCTATGCCAAACTAAGGAAGAAAAAAAAACTTTATTTTTTAAAAACCAAAGCAATTGTTATCGTTGTCATTGATATAAGTAGTCGGTGAACTAGTACACAATATAAAGTATGGATATGTAGCAGAGTCGATGACTTAGATGTAATGCAAAAAAACAAAACAGAAAAAGAAGATACACTCTACACACACAGGCTGAGAATGGGGGGGCCAAACACATTGGCTGATGGGCATGGATGTTCACATAATGGCTATTATGTGAGGTAGCAACACTGCTATTTGATCATTTTCACAGGGCACACATAATATATATATATATATATATATATATATATATATATATATATATATATTTGTATACATATAAAATAGATAGTTAAATACTTATTTGTCTTTATACATGTATCGGCTGCATTTTGCATGCTTGCTTGCGAAACATTTTAAAAGTGCTTCAATCTTTTTTCTTTAGCTTGCCTTGACCAATGTACCAGGAGTATAGTGCTGCTTCGCTTTTTTGCAATCTGTCCCGAGAAAAAGAGCGCCGCACCGAGTTAGGAAAAAGGACACGGCGAGCGTCGTGAACACGCCGGCCGGCCGGTCAGCAAGACGTCCATCCGTCCGGCCGGCCGACCAGGCCGCCCTCACTCTGAAAGACCTCCAGTTTGGACGTCTGGCTTTTATTTGAGTTTTTCTCCCTACTTTGATGTCACAAAATGTTCTTCCTGTTTGATGAGGGATGCAGTTGGGAGGGGGGGGGGGAGGGGGGGCCAGTGATGGTGCCTCCACCTCTGGTCAGATCACAGCCACACTTACTTTCTCTTTGGTCACCCCCCCCGTTTGTCCTGCTGAGCCTGCTGTAAATGTGTAAACATGTATTTAATTTGAAAAGAGTTCTATATATATAATGCAGGTATTACCTAGTCTAATCTACCACGGTTCGGTAGTCCCGCAGTCTTATTTTGTACCTCCTGTCAGGCATTGTGTCGGTGATTTGGACAGCACTTTACTGTAAATGATGTTTAATATAGAAGCAGTTACGCATATTTTTGGCCACTTCTTTATGTGTTTTGATTTCCTTTAGTCACACAGCCTTCGTTGCGCTTTTTCTGAATCTGTTTGAATTCCGGCATGGAAATGTAACTCGCGTGTATTTTTAAAAATCCGCGCGGAGGCGTATTGGAACAACCGAAACAGGTCACTTCTGCCTCTGGTTTTAGAGGCAGAAATAAAAATCCTGCAGAGCGAAAGCTTAGTCATGACGGGGAAAAAAAACTAAAAGAGACAAGTAAAGCCACAGTAAAAGATATTTGAGTTTCTTTCCTAATTAAGAAAACCCTCTTTGGCCAAGTTTACGACGATTACCGCGGCTTTGGAATTCCTGCCCTGATTCTGGTTGAATGGCCGGTGGTTGGAGGAGCAGCAGGCCGAACACATCCACAGCTGTTTCCTAGTTTTTAAAACGAGGACATTGTGTTTTTTTTTACTTTAGACAAATAGCCAACACCAAACCTTTTTCCCTATAAGCTATACGGAAGGCTTGTGTGTCCATCAAGTTCAAATCTGGTTTGATGTTCACTGTGTTTTCAGTCTTCTAAGAATGAAAATGCCTGTTCCTCTTTTCATCGTCCATTAAAAAGGGAAATTCTGAGTTTGAAACTTTTATTTTATTTGAACCGTAAGCTTACATCAGAGGGATGGGTTCAGGGTCCTCTGGATATAGGGATCTCTGGCTACTCCTGTATCATATGGGCTGGGGATGAGTGTCCTCATAAAATGTTACACGTCTTTTAGAGATACCGTCAAGATCGGGGTTCCAGTTGATTTGTTTTGGAACTGCTTCTGGCTGGATCTCTTGTCTGATTACATATATGAAGTAATGTTGTATATCTTAAGATCATTTTTCATCTGTTTTTGACTGATGACTGGCATGTAAAAATAAGGATTCATGGTATTTGCACAAATTTCTCTTTGGTGTGCACCATTTGTTGAAACTAAAAAGGCTAGGCTGAAGAGCACATACTTTAAATTACATTTAAAAAGAAAAAAAAGAACAAGAGAAACTTGAGTGAAATCTATCGATGTGTAGCCTCCCTGCTGACTGTTCAGTCCTTGGTAAACTATGAAAATACTGTTGATATTTTTCCATGTGAATTCAAAATGTTTCCAGAGCTTGTATGAGACTGTGTCCGTTCGCTGTATATGGAAATGCTCAGCACATTTACCCTTCGAAAGACTTCGAACAGACGTTTAATGAACTACAAAAAGTGTTTTTTTAATGGCAGCCGAGAGCAGTTGCCATATTTGTCCCGAACCTTTTATGTAACCAAAAAGAAGTTTGAATATTGCCTTTCTTGGAAATGTAGTTTGTGTGTTTGTTCCTTGCTGAGGTGCATTCATGGTTCAGTGTGGGGTTCAGAAAGGTGGGAAACAAAATGTCCTTTTAAAGTTCCAGTGAACAGAATCTACCTGTGAGGAGGCTCTCCAGAATGCCTTCCCCTCTTTTAGGAAACTGATGGGGACCAGGTCCTCCTGCACCATATCAGACCGCCATAGTTTTTGGCCCAAGTGAATTAAAAAAAAAAAAAAAAAGGAGTCTGAAAGCTGAAGGCCGGGAGGGGGCATTAGCTCGTTTTCTGTCACCAAATCTGACAGTAGATAGATGGAACGGATCCGTCTCAGAGGGGATTGCAGACACTGGAGATGCCAAATTACAGAGTTTTGGATTTGATGGATTTGAACGTCCCCAGATTATTACTGAACCTCCATCATGTCTTCAGTGGTGTGCTGAAAGCATCTTTTATTTTTCTAAGGAAAGAGCTACTATCGTGTAAAGGAGGATAGAGTCGGGAGAGTCGATGTGGGCAAAATCTGCCTTTCGATTTGTTTTTTTTTTTTAGCAAAAATGAGGGCTTGTTAACTTTACACTGGCTTTATTTTGTGTGGGAGACTTTGCTTCACTCTTCTAGCACACAGCTGAAAGTTTTGACAAATGTATTTTGCTTGGAATATTGTACCGAAGTTCTATACGTGCATAGTTTATGAATGTATTTCTGAATACTTAACGCCACAAAAAGGAGTGCATTGTTTCCCCCCCGTTTCCTCCGGTCATCCTGTTCGTATCCTGCCTGTTTGGAGGCCTCAGCTGCCCCCCCCCCCCGTCTGTACTGTAATCTTCATGTCTTATTGTTTCTTCTCTGAGAGAACAGCCCTATGTTAGGAACAAGCATGAACTCCGTCTGGCGAGATGCATTTTTATTTATTTATTGAAATCGCCACGATGGCTTTCGAGCCAGATAGGATTGCTGCCCCCCACCCCACCCCCACGCCCCGACGTCCCTGCACCAATTAACTTCTCCAAATTTATGTATCAAGTTGATATTTGTATTTTCAAAGAAAATGTTTGCAGCATGGTTTCTCCGACGACTTTTTCTTGTATTTAATCTTTCTGGTGATATGATTCCGACGATTCCAGGCCACCCAGTGCGAGACACACGATGATTCCAACCAGATGCTGACGAATTTTTCGAAACGGCTGTGTCTTTATAAGTAGCATGGACTTGGCCTTAAACTTCTTCAAATACTTGTTTTGGCAATAACCAGTGATTGTAGCCGTGACTGTTGCCGGGGCGCTTAAATCTTCTCAGATCCAGCCAGCGTATCAGCTGAGCTCCCCACGATGGCAAACTGAACTCTGAAACACATTTTCAAAGCACTAGTAGCAATTTAGACTCGACGGAGAGCTCGCCACGTGTTGGGCACCTTTGCTATACGATAGCCCTAGGAAGCAGTACATATTCCTGTCTTAATCCCCCCCCCCTCCCGATGCGTTCCATGGCTGTTTGCCTAAGTTCCAGCTGTCGTTGAGAACAGATGAGGCAACACTGCTGAGGTTATCGGCTCAACGGAGTTTCTGCTCCCGGTCTGACTTCATTCATGTCTACAAATGTCAGTAATCACAGCACAAGCTTCTCAAGTCGCCATTTTGTCCCTTTTGGCTGTCTGTCCGACTATTTGAAGGCCGTAGCGGCTCCCCTCGCCTCTGTTTAGACAACCGTCATCTTATCAAGCCCAGAACTGCCCTAAACACTTCTATTCAGTCGATCACAAAGATATTTGGTGACTTCAAACATCTGGTAAAATTAGCAGTTCTTTCATCCCAAATTGAATTGAATCGCTGGTGTTAATGGGGAAAAAAACAAACATGTTGTCTTTTCTGAACTGGCCTTAAACTTTCCATCGAGGAGTGTTCGCAGACCGATCCGCCAAAAGAGTTACAGACCGATGAAAGGATGCAGGTAATGGCAGAGAAGAAAAAAGGGAGCTGTAATTTTATACCTGTGCTTTGTAAATGTTTTCTATGTGCAGTATTTGATAATGTAAAACTGGTATTTTTGTCGTTTGTACGCTGCAAAATTGATTACTTAAGGTGCACGTAGTTTTGTAAGAAAATAGAACCAAACTGAGGACAAAAAAGAACAAAAAAAAAGAGATTCAGAAGCCTGTATTTGCATGCCCTTTGACATCTGGACGCAAAGTCAATAAAGTTTATTTGAATCACAAATCCCTGTCAAGTGTGTTTGTGTATGTTTTTGCTCTTCCAACATATTTTTATCCAAAGGGAGATGGCAAAGCTTACCAACTTCACAGGATTAGGGTTTTAATTCCCTATAAATAACTATTTTACAAAGGAAACAGTTTTATATCTATATAGTGTGTTTTTGTTTCTCAGATTTGGAAGATAAACCTAAGAAGCACATAAATAGGCGGTTTTATGTCAGTTTTTGCATCGAACTAAATTGGTCAATAAAGATAGCATCTTAAATCAATGCAATGTGTTTGATTAAATCAATATTTATTATAGTTTTTTGGGGGTTTTCACAGGGACAAATGTAGGTTACATCGATGTTAAATTTTGATAGGTGTGTGGACATAAAACCAGGAGGCAAAGCATTAGAGAGGGAAAAAGAGACGAGAAATCAAATTTAAAAAAAGCATCACTACCATACAAAAGATGTTCATTAAACCTGTTTATAAACATAATTTACAGAGATATTCTGAAAAGAATAAAAAGTACAATATCTTGATTGACAAGTACATAAAAAGGTACATTCCTTTATTTGCTTTCCTTTCACAGAAAACATACTGGACAAAAAAAAGGAACTGAGAGCAAGCAAACTATAAATATTTGTGCTGTATGAAGATGGATTGACGGCCTTTCCAGGAACGAGTCACTGCCCTTTGACAGACGTACCGTGGGATAATATTGCTCTCGACTAAAACGGCGTCTTCTGTTCCATTAAGTGAGAAATTGGAAACAAATAGGAGTGAAGTGGAGAGTTGTGCAGGCTGTGCGGCCGGCTTAATGGCAGCAGTTAATGCCAAAGTGGGTCTTACAAAAGGGTGGAAAGGCTTCTTTTTTTGTTGTACATAAATGGCTTCATGCGTTTCTGTGAAATCAGGAAACGGAGAAAGTTAACGAAACATCGAAAGGTGAAACGAGTACAGAAGCACAATCCCTTTTCACCTTCACAATGTGGATCGGCCAAATTTGCAAACCCTCCCGTCCGACCTGAAAAGCCTTCAGCCGGGTCACAGTTTGCAATCATTTTTTCGTATTGAACAATTCAGTACGAAAAAACCCAAAGAGCACACCGCCATGGCAATAAATAAGCTCCTCTACTCAAAATGAGTCCGGCACGATCATGAACACATTCGAGACGCACATTCATTTTTTTTGTTGTCGTTTTTTTGTTGTTTTTTTTTTTTTCTTGGTCTTGCCCGAAGACATTGAAAGTAGAGAGAAACATTCAGGAATCCGATACATACAGTACATACAATCAGAGCTTAATAAACATTCTTATCATGCAGGTCAGTGGAAGCATCTGAAACATGACCCATTCCCACCCTTCTCCGCATTTCCCCCCATCTACGGACATTCAACACGATCCGAGGCCATCGTCCCACAAGGTAGATTCTTAGCTGGAGGTGAGTGAGTGCTTACATGATGATGGTGCATGCATTTTTTTCTCATCGTCCACCCTTTGCTGAGGCCACAGCACAGTGGACTAACTGTCAGAGCAGGTGTCGCCAAATGGTCTGCTGCTTTGTTAGTTTACCTTCTAATCACTAGTTAAGAGGCAATGTAAGAAAGCACTGGAATACTGTACAGTTTTGATAAAGCTAGTGTTGATCTTTGGTCTCCTAAAGTCCTGTCCAGGTGAGAGTACTGATTTGAACTGAAGCCCTCTGGAGTTCGAGACGAAGACGTCACAGATACGGGTAGTTTAGGCAGACTTTTGTCGATGCTCTAGCTTGCTATGTGGTGCGGATCTAAGAATCGATTAACACTTAAAGGGATTTTTTTGGAACTAACATGACGTCGGGAAGACAACTTAGAAGTTGCAGGGACTGTTTTGTACCCGTTCTTTCCGTCTCATGTTTAGATGAAGACATTAACGTGTATGCCGTCTTCATGTTGCATAAAAGGACGTCAAAACCGATGTTCCCGTACATAATCAATGGATAAAAATAGTAATTAACTCCAGCGTAAAAAGATGAGACAGTCTTTTCAAATTTCTAATAAAGATCCCCTCATTATTTCTGTCGAAATCTACACTTTTAACAGGATATAAAAGGAAACAAATGCCATTCCACAGTTTGGGATGGAGGCTCTCGGTGAACTACTAGAAATACCCTAACTGGTTTATTTAGGTAGCGATTGTTTGCTGTTATTGTAAAGGGGAGGCCGTGAGATGCCCATTGGTCTGAAAATGGTTATGGTAACATGTTAAAAGACCCAAGATCTCAAAGAACTAAAAGTGCATGGTGGGATAGTTAGATGAAAATCACTCAAATAAGAATGGAGAGGTTCAGTCTGTTCTCCTTGCTGTTTTACGTCCAGCAAGACCACGTGGAGATTAAAAAATAAATGTAAAAAATCACAGCGATGTGTCGACTTGAACTTTTTTGCCTTTCAGACATGAGTTAACAGCTTTGCTTGACCCAGAAGCAAGCATTTGTGACCAAACTGTGGCTAGCCACTGCAAGTTCATACTTAGCCTAGCTTAGCTTAGTTGGCTACCTGTGTGTTCATGTAAAAATAAACGACAGCGGCTTCTCTTACGCCTGCTGAAATAAACATCTGACTAAATAAAATAATCCCCATAAGCTTGTTTACTCTGAGATTCGCATCTTTATGTGTGGTTCCTGCTAAAATGAAGACTGTTCCTTTGAGCAAACATGAACTTAGAGACATTGTTAGCACACAGTTTACTGAAAGGGAAGCCTCCTTTGCTTTTAACAAGGCGTGTGTATCCTATCTCTATGCCTTGTTTCAATCATCCCTAGACTTTAGTCCTATAAACTATTAAAGCAAGGCTAATATCTGTGCTCAGCCTAAAACCAAATCAGCAACCTGACAGCTACTGGCAGCTTGTGTGTGTGTGTGTGTGTGTATGCGTGCACTCTTATATAATGGCTAGTAACAAGGAGAGATATGGAGTCCTCACTAGTGGCTTCTGAACCCTATTGTCTTTGTCAGAGTACCAAAATATCCTGAAGGCAAACATGGAAATCTGCGGAGTGTGACTACAGGTGAGACGGCACGAGGAAGCATGGGGCAGAGAGGAGTGAGAAAGAGAGGTAGTTGTTGCTTCTCGAATCTTCTTCAAACCTGTCTCCTCCTCCTCCCTTGCATCGGAGAATGTTTCATGGATAGTCTTATCCGGCCACTGCTCCCTCTTTCGTGGGATGTGTGCGGTCACTTCCAGACGTGAGCTGTCATGTGTGCTGAGCTTTGGCTGGCCGGACCTCCGGTGGGCTGGCCGCCGTATCCCGTCATGGCGTTGGTGTTGTACAGGTTCATGCCGGCCATGTGCTGAGTCGCCTGAAAAGCACAAGACACGCTTTATACTTTCTTAGGAGGGGCCCGCTCGCCACCTTCGAAGCCCTGCGCCGTCCACGCCCCCCCATGCTTTCTATGGCTGTTTGCCTAAGTTCCAGCTTTGTAAATGTTTTCTATGTGCATTATTTGATCATGTAAAACTGGTAACGCTGCAAAATTGATTACTTAAGGTGCATGTAGTTTTGTAAGACAATAGAACCAAACTGAGGACAAAAAAGAACCAAAAAAAGAGATTCAGAAGCCTGTATTTGCATGCCCTTTGACACGCACCTGTGCCACGCCCCACTGGTTCTGCTGCGCCCCGTAAACCTGCTGGTGGGGTAGCGCTGCTGCTGCCGCCGCCGTGACGCCCTGGGCCATCCCCGACACGTACGGTGGCGCCGCGACGGCGCCGGCGGGATGCGCCGCGGCGGCGCCCTGAGCCCCCAGCACGCAGCCCTGAGGAACAGCCATCATGCTGCTCTGCTGCTGCCCCATCAGGGGCATCTGGGACGTCATCATTGCCCCTCCCATGCCCCCCAGCTGGGCTAACGAGTGGTACGACCCATACGGATGTGTTGGGTAGCCCATCTGGTTCATGTACAGGCCTGTTGAAAACAGTCATTTTGGGAATGAGTGATCACTACTTTGAAGAGGTCCACCATCGGGTGAAAACCCTTCCAATGACGTCTGGGAGAAATCTGTGTCGGTCTCACCGTGTGTGGCCATACTGCTGGCATGCACTGAGGGCGTGGAGGCGTACAAGGAAAGAATAGAGTCCTTGGACAGTTTCTTGACGGGGCCTTCCCCCGCTTTGGGTTTGGGATCCAGAAAGAAGCTGAGGTTTTCAGGCACTGAGGCGGTCACTCGGCTCTGAGGCATGCAGTTGGAAACAGGCTGGAGGGTGGCGAGTAAAGTAAAGTAAATGTTAAAAAAAAAGTGTTGTAATATGTTTTGATTATTTTGTACATATGCACCAATGAGGTGTAAATGATTTCATTTTCTACAAAGCAAATAAAAACAAACAAAAAACACGAGCGGCCAGAATGTAGATTTCATTCGAAGGTGAACCCATGGGGCATGATAATCAGGTGTGGCCTCTTTACGGTTATCAGACCGGATCAAGTAAAAACACACACACACAAAAAAAAATACATATATATTAATGAGTTCGGATAGCTTTCCTAGGAGAAGCCAACCAACAGTCAGAAAAGCAGCCACTAACTAGCGTGCAGTGTGTGGAGTGTGCTCCGTTGTACCGTGGGTTTAGAGAAGGAAGCAGAAGAAGAGGAGGGCAGGGAGCTGAAGGGATCCAGGGCAGAGTGTGCCAGAGCTGGATTAGACACCTTTGGGCTCTCATTACTGTCTGGGACGCATCCTCCACCATTAGACACCGCAGGACCTGCAGCAGGAGCATCTAATGGAGGGGAAATGGAAGGACGGTAATGGCAAGAAGTTCTTGTGGTATCAGCCAAGCATTCTGGAATCAATTGATTACACTGAACCTAGAACTGTAAACCAGGACATAAAACTCTGGTGTTTCTGTGTTAGAGTGCAGAAAAACAACACGCAAGCTGTTTTGTATGAGTCAGCACTTTTGCAGGCAATTTACGATACCAATATAGCACTCGTTGCAAGTAATAATAGCGTCATTACGCTGTAGCTGAGTGCTAATGCTCATGTGAGGTGCAATACCTAGTCCAAGCAGGTCTGTGACGATCTGGGAATCTGTCTTCGGGCTGGCTTCTTTTTTCTGAGAAAATCAGTAAAAACGAATGCAGTAAAATGAATCTGTGTGCATTGATGGATGAGTCTGCACACAGAAATCTTGACATTTTTCTTCCAGGTTCCCGAGTGGTAGTGTAATTACTGTCTGAAGTCAAGTCAAAACAGCAAAGTCACATCCTGCTTCCTCTGTCGGGTTAGGGTATACTCTAACACAGTACGTTACTACGTCTTCTGGGGGCAGACACATCTCTTTCACCCTTACTCATCCAGTAATATAACGTAGCTCAAAGCTGCACTCAGTTATTAATCTAAAAAATAAGCTACAAAATGAAGCCAAATCGTCTGTGTCTAAACTGTGATGTACTGAGGATAAACACAAAGATGTGTACCGACCAATTTCATCTTCTCAAATATTACAGGCTCCTTGGGGATGTTGTCACAGCTCTTTTCTTTCTGGAAGGATAAAACACACCGTTTGGTTGGTTGAGCAATGCCGTTTAAGGCTGAGTGGTTATTTAAGGTTAGCTGCTGTATTTTCCTTTGGGACCTCACCACTTCTGGGCGATATTGCTTTTGACACAAGCTGAAACCTTCTATCTGAAATCTGAGTCCGGACTCACCCTGAGCATTTGGATGTCGATGACCTTGTCCATGTACTTCTTCTTGTCGTATTTGTCCCTGATGAAGATCTCTGCAACCTGGTCTGTCTCGGGCCTTTGGAAGCATTCGGGTAAGAAAGCCTCGTAGAGACGTCTGGCCTTGGCGTTTCCCATCTCTTGAACACACTGCAGTCACCGACAAGAAACAAAACAAGTTCACACAGCAATTACAGGAACTGAGCACCTGAATATTAATATTAAGGGTTTAACATAACAGCTCTGACTATGGGAGCAAAAATCCTAACCATGTTTCATGGGACTGTCTTCGCATATACTAACAGGACACACACACATACACACACAAACATATTTCAGGTTCCTCTTGGGTGATAAATATAATTGTTGAACATCATCAGTAGAAGTTTAATAATTAACATATGTCACAATGCTTCTCCAATTTGTTTTTCCTTTTTTTTTTTTTTAACCATTTGGGTTTGTTCTAAATTGTGGCATTCAACACCTCTGACCTGGACCTGCTCCTGTGTCCACTGATCCAGGTTGACGGACTTGACCTTGGAAATGTGGACCCCCAGGTTTCGATGAATGCCTGCGCAACGGATACAAATGAAGATGCCCAAATTCCAGGATGCCCATCTTGGACCTAGGAGAGAGAAGAGATGCTGCTTTCAGAGAGAGGCCTGAGGGACAATGAAACGAGGCAATCGGTCTATCTGGCTTTATAACAGAATGACAGTTCGGGAGGGGAGGACCACTAAATGAGGAGGCTGAAGAATGATGAGAAAAACTAATTCTCGTGGAAAAATAGAGACAAGCCTGGATCCTCAATTAAGAATCTGAATTCAGAGGGGAGCACATCTAATCTTATGTAAGCCATGAAGTGTCCTGACACATAATAGAATCCGATACAAGAGTTAGCCTACATAACCGAGACTGAGAGGAGAGAGGGGGAGTACAAAATGACATACACACACATCCGTAGACAAGCAATCACACACACTCAGAGCCCGGATACCTGCAGGGATGATTACTCATTTGGTCATGAGCCTGTGTGTGGGAGCAATTTTATCATAACAGGTCATTTTTTCTCCCCATCTCGCAGCCATATGTATCAAAATGGATTCATTTGAAGTTTGAGTCAATCCCTCACCACGGTATAAAATTCATTTTTAAGTTGGATAAAGTGCTTCTTGAGTCGATGACTTCTCGTTCCACGTAATAAGCTGGCAGGCAGTTTTCTTTTAAAGATGTGAAATCGTGTAAGAAGGGAAGAAAAAACAACGCGCAGGCTTTAAAAAAAAGAAAGAAACTTTTTTAGCTCAAGTTATGCAACCGACCTCCAGCTTCAAAGAGAATACATGGAATTCTCTTCCACCATCTCTCCCGTTGCTCCTCCTTCCCTCCTGCCTCCCTCTCTTCCTGATTAACTAATCTCAAACTGTCTGATGCACTGTGGCCTGAAAGCCACTAGGTGGGAGAGCAGCTTTTGAAATGCAGTTTTTTTTCCTGTTGGTCAAATTCAACTCCAGAAAAAGGACATCCTATGCAAATGAAAGGGGAAGCTGATTTACTGAAAGGAAAAGCACGCATAACCTCTCTTTTCGTGGCAGCTGTGGAGACCTTTATGCCGGGCTGCCCGGCCAAAGATTAGACTCCTGTCTGTGTTGCGTCCCGCACTGTGGATGCAGAAACAAAAGCATCCAGTCTGCAATGCTGAGGGGGATTCTTTTTGATCCCTTTCTCCTCCGCCTGCTCATTTGGGGGGCTTCCTATTTATTTATTTTTAAACGGGAGATAAGACAGTAGCGACAACAAGAAAAAAGGAACAGAGAAAAGCATTACGGTGCACTCCACGGGGTCAGCGGACAGACGGCGTTGGCCTGCCGTCCCGAGCGTCCAGCTGCAGCATTAGCTGTCACGCCGGCTAATAATAGTAGATTACTCTGCAAAGCCTGCTTAAGCACTGTAAACACTGTCACTGACACAGGGAGAGCTGTACTGTGCTCCATAGGAGGGAGTTCATCCTTCATCCTCCTTATCCTAAAGCCCCCCCTGCCCCGCGCTTTGCCCACCAGTATCTTATCTTACTAACTCCCCACCGTCTCCGCCCTCCACTCCCTTGTCCGGGCATATCTTTCTCACACAGATACATTTCTCCTTCTCTGTCTTTTTTCCTTTTAGGGCTGCGCCTGCTAGCTCTTTTTTTTTTCGTGTTGTGGGCAGATTCCACATTTCTGCTCAGACATGCTAACAAGTTGGTTCTGGTTGCAGCGGCCTATTGGTCGGATGCTTTAATCCAGAGAGGAAAAGTGGGAAGGGCACGGAAAGTGCGGCTTAGGCATTCGTGGATCCATAGTCCCTAAAAAACAAAGCCGAGGCCGTTTTCCCTCTGAACTCTGGACTGTCTTTGACAGCCTGACGAAACCATATGATGGTGATTAGCCTGACTAATTTGGGCTGACTTCAGGGTAGCTTTATGACTAACTTTACTTTTACTCTAATATGAATATGATGACATTTTCATCTAATGTCTTCTAAATCAGCCTGACTTTCGACATGTTGCTGCACAATGACGACGTTTGAAGCTGAGGATTTTGGCAGCACAACCCCAGAGAGGAGTGGGAGGTGGGATTAATCCATGACGCTGATCAATCCCTACCTTTTATTTCCACCTCGCGCAATGTTTTCCGGATCTTTTTCGCTTTTTCTCCTATTAGGAGGTAAAGCTACAGGTTTAGGGTTGTACAAAAATACTAGGGTTTTTGGGGTTAAAACTAGCTTTGCTCCTCGAAGGTCAAATGATTTAAACTCTATTTAATCAACACATATTGTTTCTTTTTAAGTTCAGAATATCGTCCAGTCTAGTTCTAATCTGCTTAAGGAGAGATGGTCTGACTATTGCTGTTGCTCAGGTGTGGACAGAGATGGCTTGACCAATGAGCCAAAAAAAAGAAACATTTAAAGTGAATCACTGCTGCTTCACTGTGTCTTTTTTTGGTGTTAATCAATGCAACCCATTATAGAGCATGTCGGTCCAGTAACTGCACACACCTCCACCTACTTTTAGCAGTTATAGCTGGAAGTGAGGAGGAGGAAAAGATAAAAAAAAAGAATAAATACAGACTGAACAAACAATTGTAAAAAGGGGTCATTGCAGTTTAAAAATATAACGCCTCTGGCTGAGAGAAATGAAGAAACTGCCTGTTTTCTTTTTGTTTTCAAAGAACAAAGAGCAAACCCTTTAGTGTTTAATTAAATCAAGCGTGGTATGACTAATAAATCCATTCACAATTTATAGGGCAAAGTAAGCAAAAGAAGAGGGTCTGCTTAGCTAACTGATGACTCACTCAAAAGAAAAGACAAACAGAAACAACTCAGTGTTTGTGTTTGTCAAACACTAAAGCTGATACACATCAGGGCGGAGAGGGGTTTCTAAAGGTGTCAAAAGGTGGACTTTGGCCATTGGAGGATGCACAAACGTGGGTTACGATGAGCACCGAGAGCCAACGCACGTTCTCCTCTCCTCCCTGTGAGCTCTCCAAATTCTTCATCCCCCACATTCATCACGCCCGTTCTGGAGACGAGAGAAGTAAACACATGCAGATTTTGCACGTTACGCCAACACGTGCACGTTCACGCGCCCCCTGCATCACGCCGGCAGGTGCACGCGGCTCGTTAGCCCACATCCCGCAGGGATAAACGCTGCTCTCTGCAGGGGCCCGGCTAATCCCGCAGTGCCCTTAGCCCCGGGCGGATCCACGCCCTCCTGCAACACTGCGCAAACACAAACACACACACACACTCATCCTGTGGCCCCGCTCCACCATAACCAGTCCAGAAACCCCGAAGCCAGCCAGCGACCCAGTCCCAGTTTGAGCGGGACAGATGGACCTTTATAGATAATTTACAGAAACATAACCCCCTCCCGGTGTGTGTTAGCTTTGGCGTAGTCACGGCTGTGACTCCGCAGGTGAGGCTGAGCTGGGCTTACACCCGACAGCCAGCTCTGCCCTCATGCTACCTTTCATCTAACTTCGTTTAACGATTTCAACGACTCTGAGGCACAATGTCCTCTTCTACGGTTAATCAGATTGGTTCAACACCAAAACCTTAAGCGAAAAACCAAGCGTCCTCCAATTAGAAGGAGAGATTAAGGGAAAGTTTTTAAGTTCCCCAAACTGAAAAGGTCTTGACTAACAGGTGATGGTGAAGGCTGCGCTAAGCAACAGACATGTAGTCATCCAGAAGATGGTCTTTTAAAACTGTAAATCAAAGATATTGCATCTTTGGTCTATAATGCCTCTAAATTGAGTGAGGAAAGCTCTTAAATTGTGTACTAAAAAAGGATTTTTAGGCACATACTACTGATCTTGGTGTAATTAGAACATTGTTATACGATCAGTGAGGACTAAGAGCGCATTAATGCACCTTTAAGAACCTTAAGGTTTCAGGTTTGGACTGCTTGCTGATGTGCTCATTGGCTGTGTCGAAAAAGGGGTGGATGCTGGTTTAAACCCACATAAACCCCTTTTTGAACCCTCATATCAACTTTTGTGTAACTTGAATTAAGCCTTAAAACATTGATGGAAAAACCCATCTATTATTTGGATGGCAGCATCAGCTCACTTTGTCAATATTCCAAAAAGAAAGAGTGGGATCAATATGCAAAAGTGCTGTGATGGAGATGCAGAAGATTTGGGGGAAAATCAGAGGTGCTCAAAGGCAGAATCAACAGCTTGTTTTAACCACAGCCCTTTAGAGGGTTTGTCTGAGCACACGAGTCACATTAGAGAGTTAACACAGTGTGAAGTCTCCCACTGTGCCAACCCCTCCGTGGTGCTGTGAGACAAACAGCCAATCAAAGTCTCGTTTCAATGGAAATCCCTGCGGGGACGCCTGATTGGAGGAGATTAAAGAAGTTTGAAAGGAGGGGGTGAGCCATGGGTTCTGCCAGAGGGCGAGAGAGGGGATACAGCCAGGTGACATCTCCAAGGAGACCGGCGCCCCGGTGTGTGCGTAAACAAGAGACCAAGGAGACAATAAAAACAGCCGGGCTTTGATGTGAGCCAACACAAACACTTGTCCGCAGACGGACGGCCGCTTGAGACTGAGGCCATAGGTGGAAGCGTTGACAGCATTATATCCCCCCCCCCCCCCCCCCCCCCTTCCATCTGGTTATTGCTTCCTGGCAGTGGTGGAGCTTTACTGTAGCAGCGCCACTTTGCGAGAGAGCAAATGAGGCAAAAGGCGCCATGGAGCAGAGGATGTGAGGCAAGGAGGCAGAGAGGTGCGGTGTCATGGCCGCCCTGGCCGTACTGTCGGCTCGTAGGCGAGAAAAGCCCTCGCCGCCCACATAAATCAAACCACTTCCTCCTCGGGCCGCGAGCGATGGGAGCTGATAAACGGCCCGGCGCTCTCTGTCGTCGCAAACAAGATTAGGCCGAAACGTCAGGGCCGGCCATATGGCCTGAGGCCCGACTCCGGAGGTGGTTGTGAGCCGCTGTGTCTGGTGGCTGGGAGAATGAGCTGCTTCGGCTGAGAGGGGCTGCGCATCTGCATGAAAAACTGGGAGGAAAAGACTCAGTTGCGGATTTCCGTGAGCGTAGGGCCAGATTGTTGTTTTGGAATAATGAAAGTGGGAGAGACAATCAGCTGAGGTTCGGTGTGTCTCGCCACTAATCGATGGAGGACAGTAATAATGGGTTTTTATGGGGATGTGTGTGCAGCATCTGCAGCATAATTAGACCAATGTGCTGCTGGGGGGGGGGGTGAAGGGTCTCATGTGTCAAAAAAGCATCACATGACCCCGCTCTATGAGTTTAGTAAGAAATAGAAAAAAAAGGGGAAAAAAAAGTGGGGGTTAATGTATGTGGTGATGAGGCATCTTGTATCTACCTCTATGCCTTTGTCTTGTTTCTTTCTTTCATTGTGGTCCAGTCTTAAACCAATCGGCATTCAGATAAGAGAGAGATGGAACACAGCGTGCTCTTTTGCATGAACTTTTTCCTTCACCATCATCTGTGTCGGCTAGACTTTATAAAAATCTCCTTCAGGAGATCATCACCACTCAAAATGAAAAAAAAGAACAACAACTGGTACTGTACCCCTCATCCTGCAGCAGGATCGGGTGACTTTGAAATCACACGCCTTCTCTATAAAGAACAACGTCTCCTCTCTATGTTGGAGAGGATTCGGACAAGAATACAACAACTTGTGGAGATCGGAGGGTACCAATCATATGATTCTGTGATGCCTAACTCCCAGTTAATGTCTGATGACACTGAGCCTGAATACAATTCAACTGGACGTCCATGTTTATTCTAAAAGCTCTTTGGGAATCACTTCGGAAGAAAAGCATTCCTCTGTGACTGTCTGAGTGTGAAACTGTCTTGTTTTTCTTGTATTTTTGTGTGGATGCATCAAAGCAAATGAGAACGATTTCCATGTCTTTGCGACAGCCTGATAGTAGCTGCCTAAAGGTGCCTTAAAATAGGCTGTTTTGCTATTTTAAGCCCTAATGGGACAGACAGCACACCGGTTTGCCTGCTGAGTTTGGTCTGTCCACAGATCGCTTTTACCTGGCTTAACATATACAAAAAGAAAAGGTTACATTTCCCTGTAATACAGTCAGGATTACGCAGTCAAACGTCTTAAGAAAAAAAAAACACTCTACTGATAATGTAAATGTAGTACAAAGGGTTTCCTATTACACCTGGACCACAGACTCTGAGAGTTGCATACTTCACGTCAGATTAGCAACAGGGTTTAAAATTAATTGTTCGGCTCATTTTGGGACTCTGAGCGAATGGATTTCTGCATTCTATGAAGCTTATGAGCGTAATAATCCCCTGTTATTCGTGTAGCATGAGGCTCCAGGTCCATTAGTTCCCACACTGAAATATCTGGGACATCGGCGTCAATTCCTGGATCTTTTTTTTTAACCTGCATTCAGCAAAATGTCTGTGTTTTACATGAGGGGTTATCTTGTGCCTGAGGGACAAAAAAGGAAAAGAAGGAGAAGAAAAAAAAACGTATTTGTTTGCGTTTGTCTGCATGTGACAGCCCCAAACACAGCCTGGTCTGTATGTCCAGACAAAAACAAAACAAAAACAACCATAATGATTACACTTCAAATTTCCCACAGTTGCATTAGTGATAAAAAAGTTTTTGGCTTCTGTTCCAGGCAACGGCAAGCCGCTGCACTGCTCAGGCATTTCTACATCATAAGTCACTCATCTAAACACCCATCACGGGTCCAAGATTAGAATCTTTCATAGATAGATAGAGACCTGAGTGCATATCCATGAAAGGGATTTCCTGTACTTCTTCCTGGCATAAATAATAGAAATGTTTCCCAATTAAATCACAGAAAACTGTGACTCTTCCACGTTAGGAGACATTTGGAGAGAGACAGTTGTTTGTGACCAGAACAGCAGTGTTTGCACGCCATTGTGGCCAAACGGCTTCAGCAAACAGCCGGCGGCACAGCTCGAGGCCTCCTCGGTGCTCCTGTGACAAGAGGGGTGAATGAATAATCCCCCCCCTTCCCCTACTCAGAGCGCGATCGGGGCTGGTAAATCCAATGATTCAGAGGAGAACTGTTAAGAAAGGGCTTTGGGACCGGTTTCCCAATCCGAAAGCGCTGTGGCCAGTCCCATAAGTGAGCATAATTGCTCAACAAGTAACCTGAGAGGGATGGCTTTGCTCTGGGAGTGCGGTACCACACAGATTTTTCCCTGCATGCACTTGGCCTTCAGGAACAAGCTGTTCAGGGCGACTGAAAGTCAGCACAGGTGTCTGCTGTCTTTCTCTGTCTGCCTCTGCTCCCAAAGGGATGGAGGGGAACAAACAATGGGGGGAGAAAAACAACAACTAATCACAGTCACACCAATAAAATCCCTATTTTGTAGCGGTGGACGTATATGGAGCTCTCTGCTCTTGACTTATCTCGGTGTGATGTAAGTGCATGCCCTGTTTTGCCTTCTGAGGATGTGGCCCCAGACAGCCTCGTTAAGTGGTCGAGGGCTGGCGCGCGCGCGCGGGTGCCGCATTCTCCAAGGTAGTAAAAAAAATAAAAAAAGAAGAAGAACAAGAGACCTGGGCGGCCGGTTTAAAGACAACCTGGCTCAAGGGGAAGGCGAGCACGACGCGACGACCCACCTTTAGATTCGCAGTCGGCGCAGTATTTGTTCTCCTCCAGCGCGAGTAAAGAGTTGAGGACCGCCTGGTACCTGTCAACGTCTTTCACAGATTTGCCCGTCATCGCTGCGCTGTCGTCCGCCTCCTCCACGGCCCCCCTTTCTTTTTTTGTGGCTGCCGGCTATTGTCACAGAGCTTTTTTTTCTCCACCCCCCCCCTTTTTTTCACCCGTCCTGTCAAAAAATGAAGCGGTACGGGCAGAGGTGCTCCGTTCCTCCTCTTCCTCCTCCTCGACGGGGAGAGCGGTGAGTTTGTTTCTCCGAGATGGGATGAGAGCTTGTTAGCCAACCAGCGCGCGGGTTAGTGGAGGCGCGCGTGCCCCAATCAGGACGCCGCGCGCAGGAAAGCACCATGTGATTTCCAGTATTCAAAATGCGCCCTCGCCTTTGAAGCACATCTGTAACCTATCACAAAGCACTGCAACGGCCCCATGCAGTCTCTGCCTCCAACCCTGCTCATTTTCTCTCACTCACACACACACGGTAAGACACAAAGTGCGAGTAAAGAACAAGTACACGCACGCACGCACCTATGCTGCCATCCTGTGGGAAAATGAGTGGACTACATTCGAGACTGATGACTCCCTTTCCCCTCCGAACCACAAGAGGGCGGCAGGAATCAATAAAAAAACATTTACAGCAGCAAACGAGACGCGTTTGACTTCCGCAATGTGCCACTGTGCCAAACAACTGCAGATGTAGGCATATTTTTCCCAGAACACAAACGTAGTAACACGTTTAACCTCTGGAAAACTGCCATTGTAAAGTGTAATCTAAAAAAACGCGGGTATTTTCTTACATACTCCATCATTCTCCCAAATTACCTCGTGGGATGCCTTTGCTCTGAAAAGAAACACAGGAAGTTAATACTTTTAACTTTGCACTAGCGGAAGTGTTTAGGGGAGCGATTACGGAAATAACTACTGAGCCAGAATCAAATAAATAAAGGATTAATCTCGTGTCACCATCCCTGTAAGCCTGTAACCCTGTCCACAATGTCCAGGCAATCCAACCGAACAACAGACAGCAAGAAGATGGTAGGCCAGCCTCGCTGGATTAACGGCAGCCTGACCTAGCTGACTTAACTAGCAAAAATGCTAACCATTTTCTGTTCACGTACTACTTAGAAACTATATATTTGGACATATACACAATTGACAATTGTGTGTTGTTGTTTTGTATGTGTATGTGTTTGTATAGAGGACGTTTGAACCTGTTAGGTTATAGTTTTCTTTTATTTTTAGGGAAATGTCAGTTCATTTAGCATAGCGGCTAAAAAGATGGCAATGCATGACTTGCCTCCTTTTAAGTAATTATTTTTAGTAATTGCGTTGTTTAAAAAGGAGCACATAATTTTATAACTCACTCTTTTATAACAATTTGAACAAAAACAGTTAACCCATGCAAGTAGGGCATGTAAGTGAAGAGAAACAAATTTACATGAATAATTAATATATGTGTTGGATGTTACCAATCATTATGCTACCATTGTATATATAGATATATCATTATTTTTAATTGAACAGTAGTTGTCCACTGAATGATGCCACAGACACCTAAGGGGTTTTATATATAAATCAGGATTACTTTATTGATCCCTTGTGGGAAATTCTATAAAAAAAAATAATGACAAGACAAGGATTTGCTGTTCCAGCCTAAAGTAATTGTTGACTTTTCAATAAAGAATTAACTTGCCAGTTTTTGGCAATCAGTGATCTACATTTGTGACTGTGCTTAACATCCACAGATGATATCTTAGCATAAAGGGATAGAAAGCATTACTGTAAATGGTATGACAGCTTAACCTCCCTTCACATAACAGTAAACAGATTGCTGACCAGTTAAACATGTAGAAAAAAAAGACAATTCCTCGGTTGAAAAATTCCCCCAATAACAGAATAGATGTCGCTGTGATGAAAAATAACGCTTTTTTCCCTCTTCAACTTCATTTGATAAATTGATAAATTCCACCGTTATTAGTAGGACACCGTTTCTGGTTAAAATGACCAACCCACATTAAGTTGTAAACAGAGTTTAAAAGTGTTTTTTATTTTTATTGCTATTTTTTCCTTGTAGAACTCTGAGCTGTTCACATTGACCTACGGGGCCCTGGTCACCCAGCTCTGTAAAGACTATGAGAATGACGAGGAGGTCAATAAACAGTTGGACAAGATGTAAGTACTCATTTTGAAGAGATGTTCACACACACAGCTGCTGTTTGAAAATGGTCCAAGTGGGTTTAAACGATTTCTGAATTTTTCTTTTAAGGAAACCACATATTTCGCTTGTTATATCTTAGTCATCTCTAATGTCACATTATGTTGTTGTAGCTTGTCCATGGTTCAGTATCCAGGCCTGTAAGCCGCATGTAAACAAGGCATTCGGACGAGTCACTTGTTAATAAAGGTTTAAAAAATAGAGAATAAAAAAAACGAAATAAATCTTTACAAAATTAGGTTACATTTGTTTTCATACTGCACCTCTTAGTCATGACTATTGTTATATCACATAAAAATCCATTGTGTTCATCTGTAGCCAGAAGCAAACTCTGTTCTGTGATTTAGCATTAAAACCAAGCTGTTGTTCTCTATGGTAAATAAGCACGTGTTTTAGTCCCCTCAGTCGTTAGTTTTCTAGGGGACAGAAGACACAAAGGCGAAGACAACAGCTGGAAACGGTCCAGTGGAATGACATCCCTTTGCAAAAAGCAGAAGAGGAACAATGTTCCAGCAGTTTAAAAAACACTGACACCATAATTTTTCTGCATCTGATACATATGCAGGCAGATGTTCTTGTGGAAAACTGCTTGTCACATCTAGCCGTGCAGTTGCTCACTTGGACATGCCTGAACCATATGTTGTTCAGAAAAATGTTGGGATGTCGTCATTCCTCAGTACATTTGTTGAAATCAGTGCCAGCCACTGTCCCAGACTGTTTCATGTTTCAGTCTGGCCCATCTCTGCCGATTTTTTTTGTTTTTTTGTAAGACACTGTTGTTGTTTCAACATTTCCATTATTAAAACCCCATGAAATTATTTTTACACTACCTTGAATGCCTCCCCTAAACTCGCAGCTTAGCTGTACTCAGGCACATTCCTCTGTTTTCAGTTGAGCAGCGATGTGGTCTAATAAGATTTTATTTCTCACACTTGTGCTCTTGAAAAAAAAAAGTGGGGGGGCTTTTGGGGGGGAGCAAATGTCGGTTCTTATTCCCTTGACGGTGAAAAACAAAATGCTGGGAAGCCAAGCTGGATACAGTAATCCCACCTAATAAAATTTAGACAAAACCACAGATTTACAGCCTAAAAAATTCAAAACATCCTGTCAAGCTGACAGAGCTCTGGACTGGATGAACTTTGCTTTCTCTGGTTGGGAGGCAACGCTTAGCTTAAACGAATCGGAATGTCCTACCTGCCCTTAGAAGGCTGTGAATCTCTACTGCCCCCTTTTGCCATTTACCATCCAGCTGGTCAGAGACATACCATTTTAGGACTGGGATGCATCACTTCCCAGTCCCACATCAGACGCTGACTCTTAAATCAGAAGCGTCATCAGGTGTAAGCATCCACACGCGTGGATCCAAACAGTCTCTAAGTATTCGGATTTGTCCTTTGGTTATGGTGTGCCACGATGAAGCCCGTCGCCTCTCTGTACCCGTCCTCCACCACGACCAGTTGGAGTGACTGGATCTCTTTTGCCGTCTTTTCACAGGGGCTACAACATTGGGGTGCGTCTGATCGAGGACTTCCTGGCCCGTTCCAGCATTGGCAGGTGTCAGGATTTCCGAGAAACGGCCGACGTCATCGCCAAGGTGACCGGAAGGCCTCAGGACCAATGAGAGCATGACAGTGAACGCAGGGATTGAGAGGGAAATTTCACATCAGATCAGATCAAAATACCTCAGCATATGATGGAGGATTTTTTTAGTAGGTCAGATCAGAGTCCACTGGCAACTGTTAAAAACCTGCTTTTAGCATCCCAGCTGCATTCAAGATGTTGCTGTTAAATAGCTAGATGCCTCAGATGAAACCACACATCAGTTCAGGGACCTGCAGCGGTGAAAGGTAACGACTGTAAACAGAGAACCGCTGTGGGGGTCAGTAGCATGGAAGCACCTTCCAAAATGACCGCCAGGCCCGATGACATCGCCTGACCTCTCGCTAAACCACAAAAGGAAATCCCTAGGGCCATTAATTCAGTCAAAATCAGGCAAACCCAAAGCAGGGAAACAATATTTGAACAAGAGCGTGTAGACTCGTCTCTGAAACGTGATGTCCGTTCTGTGCCCTCTTAGGTGGCGTTTAAGATGTACCTGGGTATCACCCCCAGTGTGACCAACTGGAGTCCAGCAGGAGACGAGTTCTCCCTCATTCTAGAAAGCAACCCCCTGGTCGACTTTGTGGAGCTGCCGGACAACCACAGCACGCTCATCTACTCCAACCTGCTGTGTGGAGTCCTCAGAGGAGCCTTGGAGATGGTAAATTACAGCAGGAAACAACCATCTCGTGTTTCCCCGGTAGACGAATGTGAACCTTTGCTTTCTCCGTCTGGCGTTACTTCCCCCGCGCGGCAGTAATTGCAAAGTAGCTTTTCTGGTTAATGTTGATCCTGCACGTCAGCTCAGAGGAATTTAAACCCGTTCCCCTTAACAGAACAGCTTAAGCTCCGGGATGTTTGCGGGTTCCCTCACATTAGCTGCTCGCTTCATTTCATTCCATAACATTTCCACTGGATTAAAGTCAGGACTTTGACTCGGCTGTTTCAAAACATTAACTTTGTCAGGAGAAGCCTGTGTGCTTTGGGTCGACGTCAGACTCTGTCGAACAAGTCCGGTCACCTTTAATTAAGTGGCACATTTAAGGGCGACAGGCAAATCGCCTCACAGAGGGAAGATGATTGACGTCGGTCGTTTAAAAGGCAAACCTTGGGAATAAAAATAACCTGAAAGTCAAAACACAGACTGAAAATGATTGACAGATTGAAAGAATGAATAGACCAATTATTAGAAAATGTGAAGGTAGGCAAAATGTCTTAAAATGGCCAATTTTTAAGCACAGGAGAGCACTTGACTGTCGTTTTAAGGACGACTGACTTGAAAACTTTAGACAAATTCTAAAAGCTCTTTGGTGACATTTACTAAATAGTCAGAATTCAGGAGATGGGCAGTCTTTGTATTAGTTTTGATAATGCCAGCTATATTATGAACGTCAAGGAGATGAAAGCATGAATTGCTGATTCATGGTCTTTAGAAGTTTTATAAAAAGAGCCTTTAATTGGGCTACAGTTCTGAACTGGGAAAAGTTTTCCCCTGCAAAATGGTCTTTAAAATTCCAACATCAGTCACAGAGGAGACAGGATTTTTTGTTTAAAATAAAACAATTTTACATTATCAGACAGACGGTTACTTTGGTATTTTCCCACCAACCAGAGCCGGACGCCATCAGGACAAGGAGTGTCATCTTTTGAACCCAGAAGGAAAACATAGTCTGGCGCAACAGTGGCAAAAAAATGCTGCGATTCTCTGGTGCAGCGTGACCCACTTTCTGTTAAAAGCTTATGGTTAAAGGAAATGAGTTGTGCCATAATCCCTCAACGGCCAGAAAACTTTCTCTGCCCAGATAAGGGAAAACAGACTATGACACTTCCACATCTGATTCTCATCCCCCTCGTTTAAAGCACCCGACTCCAATTTCACTCTTGGGTTCACTGCCGATCCAAGAGGTTCATGTCGATTGTTTTTCACACATTTGAAAGACCCGCATGAGAACTGTAGAAAAATCCTGAAAAAAAAAAAAAAAAAAAAGCAAAAAAAACACACCATCACTCAGAAATATAACTGATTTTGAATCCATTTTAGGTCCAGATGGCCGTGGACGTGAAATTTGCCCAGGACACTCTTAGAGGGGACAGCGTCACAGAGATCCGTATGAAGTTCATCAAGAGGATTGAAGAAAACCTCCCGGCAGGAGACGAATGATGAGGGGGGGGAGGGCAGAGCTGTTTTTCCTTTGTTTCTATTGAGGGCGGGATAACGTACACCAAGAACATTTCCCTACTCTGAAGAGATGAAGAAGAACCATCAGATTGAACGCTAATTCCTCCCAGCCTCGAGGACGTTTCCCCACCTTGCAGTCTGACATTTTCCTGAGTTGGTTTTAACATAAAAAAGCCTGATTGTTCATCAGAAAGGCCCGAAATAGGCCGTCTTAACTCCTGTTACTGTTGCTGAAATTTACACGGAAAAGAAACTGAATTCTTTGATCACAACAGGACCCAGCTATCTGATCTAAACGCTGAAAAAAAATGTCACTGTGACTCGAATATGTGAGGAAGAAGGTTCATGTCACTGTTGGGAAGAGTTTTATTCCTCTGCACATTTCTGTCACTAACCCTCACTGAAAGAGGCACTTTCCTCCAAAAATGTTCATGTCCTGTATCCAGTCTCAGATAGACATATACGCATATTTTTGTTTACGCTACCAGGCGGCAAATCTTTGTGCTGAATTGTTTGTTTTTGTTCTGGTTTTTATTTTCCTTTTTTTTCCTTTTTTTTTTTTTGTATGAAATCTAATTCTGTCGTGCTGCCAGTTGTCTGGCGTGTTAATTTATGTTGATCTCAAGTAAAATCGGCGTGATGTTGGCAGATGCTTCCCTTTTGTTTGTGAGACTGGACTCCTAATGTGTGCCTCCCAGGAGCTGTTGAGAAGTTTCCTGCTCGTACGCGTACTCATTTCACGCCGGTGAACGGCTTCAAATCGCCCCTCACTAACAAGCAGAACTTCCCAGTTGGACTCAGCACACACCTCGTCAATAACAAATTGCACTAGCAGGTCTTCACACGCAGACCTTTACACACAAACACACACTCACACACAAATCATTCTTGGCCCCACATGTATAAGGACAAAAAAACAAAAACAAAAAAAAAGTCTGGTCTGGATGCCTCTGGAGGCATGTTTTTCATATTTTTTTTTCTTTTAAAAAGAAGTTTTTGTTAAACAAAACAGTAACATTAAGACCAAACTCATGAGTCTGCTGAAAGCACTTAGAGGGGTGAGATTGTCAGATAGGGATTTCCTTTTAGGGGAATCTGTCAGTCATTAGCTGCTGGAAACCTTTAAGACTCTACACATCCTATTTTAATGCAGGCGGTTACATGCTGCCATGTCTTTTTCTCCAAACAGCCACCAGAGGGCGCTGTTTACACAAAACTTCCTGCCCATTGGCAACCAAGCCAAAGCAATGTACATCTTGCTTTTTGGGCCAGTGGTGGCTATTGTGGGAGAAATAAGTGAAAGTTGTGGCTGGAGACGCCAGGAAAACGTCAATAAACGTGCCTTTTTTTTTCTCAGGCTAGAAATAGTCCTCCACGGGAGTTGAATATATAGTGGCCGGGCCTTTGTATCTAACTTTGATTGGGCTCACAGAGTCACGCCGCTTTTGTTCTTTTTTAAGATGTACAGTATTACGGTGGGATTTCTGATCACCGCGCACAGCTTCTGCTCACTTCTGTGTGTGGCAGTGAAGATGGAGGCCTGGGGAAGGCCGGCGCTGTGCAATAAACCACACGGTCTCCAGATATTACGCACACATAGCCTATCTGTTTTGGCCTGCTCTGTGTTTGTTGGACAGAAGATGGAGCAGGAAGTTCTATTTTTATTTTTTTGTGTGTGTGTCTGTGTGTGTAAATGACTTGGCAGGTGTGGTGGCTACCTGGGGGATGGCTGGACAGCTGGGTTTGTGTACTTGTGAAAACTGGTATGCGTCTGCAACGCGCTCGTGAACAAACGCTCACATAGCCTATGCTGCGCACGGAGGCCAACGTGGGTATAAATTTATTACCACCACCACACTCACAAATGGGTGTTAATACATACTAGAAGGACCTTGTCCAAACACGCAGATCGACCGTTCTGCTCCTCAGACCCCGTGAGCTGCTCTGCCGGTGCCTGGTGAGAGCTTCGTGTGGACGGTCGTCACCGTTTTACTCATTAAACAAGAGCGTAGGAGAACTACAAACTAACTAACGCTCCATTATGACTTCACACCTCATAACCTGAGCAGATGGGATTTCGATTTCCTTCGGCAGCACTGCAGATTTTGCCATCGAATGAAAACACGAGGAAGAAAAAGAGGAGTTGTTATTTAGACCTTTCGGGCCACGAGGAACAACTTGATGCTTTTTTTTTTCCTTTATCTGATCTGGAGTTTTCACCTCCTCCTATTCTGTCTCTCTCTTATTTGTTTAAACCGCTCACTCTGGGACATCAACTGCACTTTATCAAGTGCAGTTTATTCAGTGTCGCCCCCCCCTTCCCCCACCCAGCAGACGGTCTCTTTTTTGCTAAAATATTTCATTTCGGTTGTGTTATTTATTGCAGCCTCCTATATTTTTCGGAGAACTTTATTAGGACAGACCTGGAAAACAAGTAGCAAATGTTACAGGCCCGAGACAGCGTGCGCTGATCTGCTTTAAGCCAGATAAACGTTTCCATGTGGCCTTTATGGGAACCAAATGGTAAAAGGCACGCTGTGACAGCAGGGCCCGGCACACACGCACACACACTCACACACACTCGCCCGCCTGGTATTGACCTATGCTCATTGAACGCCGCATCCCTTTCTTTTACCTCCATTTCATCTATTTCCACTCTCCGTTTCTCACAGTTTAACCCACTTCATTTGGAGCCCTGCGTCCTTTTTTCCATTTGCTTCCTGGTGTTTTTTGGCTGTGCCAAACGCAGAAGAGTCTCTCTTCTGGGAATGGCCTTCGTCTTGATGGGGAAATGTGCTGAATCTCTCCGGTGACTAAAAGGCTCAGTCACCCTGGACGGACGGCAGCTCCCTGTGACTCAGCGAGGAAGTGTGTTCGTGATCAAGATCGGTCACTCATATTTCACATGTCCCATAAGTCAAGTGATGCTCGCGTTGAAGCGGTGTGATTCCCACGATTCGCTCCTGACTATTTAAAGACGCTGTTTGTGATTTTAGCGATTTGAGGAGAAGCTATTTTTCAGTTTTATGTTCGTAAACACCTCGGGAAATAAATGTGGATGTGGTCTTGAGGGGTAATTATGAGCGGATTTGCTTATCGGTCATAGTATTTACCCAGTGAAAGCTGCTCCGGCATCTGCAAGCCATTTGGATCATGAATCATCGTCCACTTGCAAACGCTGGAGCACGTCCTATAAATCTAATGGCTCGAGCTCTGCACCTTCCATTTAGTATGTGTTAAACAGTACATCTTGGAAGGTGAGACGTTATTGGACCACTCCAAGTTGTCTTTGGGTCTTCCGACGGAAGGAATGTGAAAGGAAATAGTGACAAATAAAAGCATGGGTCAAATTCAGGTAACCAGGGCAATAAAACTCCGTACCGCCAGTCTCACAAGAGATTCTTGTTTTCATCTTTTTCAACGGGGAAGACATGTCAGGGTGAAATTGGTCCACAGCTGTGTTTCTTCTCTGTATCAACAGTGGCCTGGATTTCAGGCAGCCTCTGGTTGATGCCGAGCCATTTAATGCCTTGTTTTCAGTTCATCCCTCTTCCAAGCTTTTTGGATGGGGACTGCGTAGCTGCTTTCACTCTGCTTCCAATTTCTCACTGCTCATTTGCTTATCCGTCATACTCCAGGATCTGAAGACTTTTTAAGCATGCTAATGATACAGGTTTTATACACTACTTTGCTGTTTATTGAGCCTAATTTCCCACCAACTTTCATTAAATTCAGCTTTGTTCCTACCCGATTTAGATTTTTAAATTTTTTTGTTTACCATACAACTACTATAGCAGGACTTTATGTAACATCAACAGAACTTTCCAACTTGGAACAGCCTCACTTGAAGGTGGAGCTGCAGAGGGAAAGAAAAAAAAATAAAGAAAAAGGAAACTTTTGTGTATAATTTTGCACCAACTGGCCTGAGGCCACACAGCACTTCACCCTAGACTTCATTATTCCATTTTTTTTTTCAGTCATATTCTCGTATGTAAGCATATGTTTATATCAGTCTCCCGGGCTGTAACAAATATGTTAATTCCAATTGAAAAGCAGGAATGTGAAAGTCCCGGTTTGCCCTGGACTAAAATCAAACCAGGCCTCCCCTTTCCAGAGCACAAGGCTGTCTAAGAGGCTGCACACCAGCTGCACTGGATAGGCCCGTAGCCGCTCACCACTTTCAAACATGAACTGACCATGTGGGTCTGTCACCTTAAAACAAACCTTAAAGTGGCCGAACGCACATCAATCAGTGAACAGAGCGGCGTGCTTCCCATGATGCATGTCTCCCCAGCAGGCCATACGTCTAGCTTGCAAAGCATCATCTCCCAGCTAATATCCAGGTATAAATCTAGACACTGGCTCAGAGGCTTCGGGTTTTCAGCAAATGATCTATAAGCTGTCCACTTGAGGCCCGTAAAGTATGGCATTCATATTCTCACGCCTTGAGCTGTCACTCAGGGAAAATAAGGCTAACCTACATCCCGTGTGAAACGTCATGTATTGATGAATGGTCAATGTGTATGTGGACCCATTGTTATTTTTCGATCTGGCTGTGGCATGGCGGCTTAAATGATTGTTACGCACAGACCAATGTGACATTTTGGTGTTTGTTGATTAGCAGTAAACAGAGAAGAGAGAGGCATAAGTTGAATAATAGAATAATACAGAATTAAAAGTAATTTACCATACTCATCCATGTCAAAGAACACCACTGTTTTTTTCTTTCTCCATGTATGAATACATAAAAAAAACAGTATAATATTTAAGACTTGGACTCATCAGCTTTTACGCATGAAATAGTCAGGGTTTGGAGGCCCACCATACTATTAATCCAAACTTTAGTTTAAAAGTTCCCTTTTGTTTTGTGGTATCTGTGGAGCACTGGAAAAATAAAGGGGTAGTTTTGGCAGGTGCTTGTTGATTGTTGCACTGAGTCTACACTGGCATTGTGTTGGTTTTGGCCAACAGATCGAGCTAGT